CCCCTGCTGTGTTCACCCGATGACTGTGAGCAGGATTGTCCTTCTGTTAATTTCCCAGAGACACTGCTCAAAGCCCCAATTCTGCCCTCAAAGGGCTCGGCATCCGGTGAGGAATGGATGAACCAATAGTCACAGTGCGTGTGGCAGGTGCTGTGATGGAGGCGGGCACAGGGAGGTGACAAAGGTGGACACAGGGAGGTGACGGAAACTGTCCACCATGAAAAGGGCAGCCTCCCATGGCCTCCAGCTTCTGGCCTGGATTTCTGAGAGCGAATATTAGTTTGCCAGGCTTTATTTTTGTGAGATGATGATGATGCCGATGGTTGTTTTACTTCTGGAGAGGGGCAGGGACGCAAGGAGCAGGCAGGAGTGTGTCTGGACACTCACCTGTGTTTTCTCCTGTCCCCCTGCTTCGGGCCTCTACGTAGCTCAGGCAGCAAGTACAGGGCAGACTGGCCCGTCTCTAGCCTCCAGGCAGGCGCAGCACAGGGCACAAGCCATCCCCAGGGACACTGGTGCTGGCAGCTTCGCTGGGCTCCGTTGCCAGGGTTCTCCCCCGGGCAGCGCAGTGTTGGCTCCGGCCCACGGCACCTGCCCTGAGGCACAGCGCCCTGTCGGAGCCAAGAAGAAGGAAGCTTCCTGCCGGCCCTAAATAATGAGGGAGGCCGGGCTGGGAGAGCCACAGCACACTCACCTGCGGGAGGGCGTCCGCGCGCTGCCGCCCTCTAGCTGGCTCGGCACCCTGATGGGCACATGGCGCCAGTTGGCCCAGGCCCTCCCTCGGTGCCACCTGGAACGGGTCACTAACAACTTGTATTCGCTGCTGCCAAAGGGCCTCTGCCCTGTCAGTCAAATGGAAAAATAATTAGAGTTTTATTCTCTCCTGTGTTTAAGCAGAAAGATGGAGGCCTTCACGTGGCGGTGGCCCAAGTGAGGGGAGGGACTCATTCCGCTCCCCTGGGCTCTCGGGGTGAGGGCGCCGGCGCTTTTGGCTGCAGGTGGGAGACCAGCGGGCCTCACGGTTCTCCCTTCGCCTCCGAGCCCGCTGCGCCCGCAGAGCCCTGGCGACAGGCCCAGGAGCCCTGTGGCTGCCTCCCCGCTGGCAGAGCCAGTGTCCGGGGCCAGTTACCCCGGCCCCAACTTCATCGCACCCCAAACACCCCCACCTTGGACGCCCAGATAGCGGCCTTCCCAGGGAATCCCGTGTACGTATCTGTGGGGTAAATGGGCAGATTCATGTTGAGTTAATCTGTCCCTTTCAGTGTAATTCATCTCGTTTCCTTCCTTGTCCCTCATCCTCAGGGGTCGGTATTTGGCTCAATAAGTCGTGAGAATATTTCCACAGTCGCGATGTGATGTTTCTCTGGGACTGGAAGCCTTGGAGGTGCCCTTGCTCCTGCCGCTCCTGGCCCTGTGGCCTGCCCTCCCCAGGCCTTTGAATCCCCCGGGTCTGGGCATACACTGGGCTGTGGGGAGCGTGGCCGCCTTGGGCCAACCGTAGACGCGAATGTGCTCCCCAGACCTGTAGGCCCAGATCGGAGCCACGGAACTGGGGGTGAGTCTGCCCCTTTGGAGCGAGGAGCCCGCCCCCCGTTGAGGGGTGATACTGGACGTGGAGTCCCCTGAGGAGTGGTGGCGGCTTTATCCAAAGGTGGCAACATCGCCTGGTCTTAGAGGACAGATTCCCAAGGGGCTCAGGAAGGCCCAGGGAATTGGTGGGTGTTGGATGCGGAGATGAGAGCGAGGCAGTGCCAGGGTCACTCCGAGAGCTGTGGCTGGTGGCTGGGCAGCGTGTAGGGCCGCCATTGAAACAGGAAGCAGAGAGGAGGGGAAAGGAGACGACGACTCAGTGTGGAGCCCGGTGAGTTGGAGCTGCCTGTGGGGCAGCCTCGTGAGGGTCAGTGACACGGAAAGTGGCCCTTCCCCTCCAGTACGTTCTTGTCATCTGAGTCTCCGCAGACTTTCCTGTGGCCTCAGATCCCTTGGCACCCAGCACCACGGGAGACGCGGGAAAAAGTGGGCGCCCGTCCCGCAGAGCAGCACAGCCGTCCTTCCCCGGAACGCACTCTAAACGCGTGGAACAGGGTGAGCTGCGTGTGTATTTCTGAGCGTGTCGAGTCCGTGCGCCCGGCACTGTGCAAGCTGCTGCGTTTCATTCTCTCCGCAGTTTCTAACCTCCTGATGATGGGCGCTCGTCCTTTGAATTCTGGCCCAGGTACTTCCTGCCTCGACCGTTCAGACCTCTGCCGGCCCATCCTGGATCGCTGCGGTCTTCGGTGCGTCCCCATCTCCCCATGTTAGAGGGCAGTGCTGGGTCTGCAGGGAGCCCGCTGGGGCGGCCGATCGCCGCTCAGTGACACGGAAAGTGGCCCTTCCCCTCCAGTACGTTCTTGTCATCTGAGTCTCCGCAGACTTTCCTGTGGCCTCAGATCCCTTGGCACCCAGCACCACGGGAGACGCGGGGCAGGCCGCGTTTCCTTGCTGCGCCCTTGGTGTTTCGGAGCCGTTCTCCGCTCGGAAGCAATTAGTTTGGAGAAGGCTGACTCTTCAGGGTCCAGTGCTCGCCTGCCTTTCATTTGCTGAGGCCGCTGCACATTTTAATGAAGTTGTTTCATCTAGGTTGCCCAACACTAGATTTTTGCTGCTTCAATTCTAATTATGTCTGCTGGCAAATGCTATGTTTTATTAGAACCCGCAAGGGCTCCGTTTGTTAAATGTCCATACACTGTGGCGTCAGGCACACAAATGAGGTCAGCTGTGCTCGCCGCTGGCTTACGGATGGAAGGAGTGAAATATTCTCCTCATGATCGGACAGGGCGTTGGGACGGCCTGCAGTGGCGAAGTGGGATGTCGGGGTGGCCTTGTCTCCCGAGCTCAGCCTCCTTCGGCAGCAACAGCCGGCCTTGACTCTAAGTGTCTGAGTGACGGGGCTGTCCGTGGTGGCTCTAGGGGTCACACGCCCATTCTCTCCTTTGCTACAGTTGCCTGACACTTACATCCTGCTTCCTGGGTTGTACGTCGAAGGCTGCAGCAGAAAAGGAACCACCTCTCCCGGTCTGGCTACAAGCTTATTGATCTCTCCTTTATTCTCCGCACCAAGTGTTTGGTCCTGAGTTCCCTCAGCAAGGAGGGGAGGGGCGGCTTTAACCAGGGCGTGCCTTACCCCATGCCCTCCTGCAGCCTGGGCAGGGGCTGGCAGAGGCGTTCGGTCCGCGGGGCTCTGGGTCCCCCAGGCCAGGAGCCTCGGACCCAGTTGGCTGGGGTACGCTCCGGGGTTCTCAGTGTTCAGGGTGACGCAGGTCTGGAAAGGGGGCTTTTGTACAAAAGGAAATGCCTGTGTCCGTCAGGGGCTCTCACCCTGAGAGCACGAGGGAACCGGAAGCGTGGGCTTCGCACGAGCCAAAGACACGGCCAGGAGCAGCGTAGCAGGGGCACCTGTCACCACGAAAGCTGTGCATCGAAGGCGCGTGGCTCTGTCTCCAGCGAGACTGACCTGCACGCGCTCACAGACTGGTCTGTGAACAGGGAGTGGTACGAGTGGTTTCACTGTGTGGGACAAAAAGGAAAGATTTATTAGCTTCTCATCACAAAAGCAGGTCTCCTGCGTAGCATCAGTTACTTTGTCATGAGTACAACGTGTCGCGTCAAGTTGGCGCTTACTAATCACCCTCTCCTTCCAACTCACTGTAGGAATAATGAGATGAAATTAGTGGCAGACCGTCGCCCCCACATTAATCTTCGTAAGCTGGTGTCAGCGAAACAGGCAAACACTAGCGTCCACTTCTAAGCGTGTGTGTCTAAAGAATGTTAGAAATCTCTAGGCTTCGGTATTTGGAAGGCAAACTCCTTGACTTGTATCAACAAAGACCTAGCAGATGAGCCTGCAGGACTCCCGTGGCTGTGCGCAGGGCGGTGCACGATGTGACGGGCAGCTTCAGAGCCAGGTGCCGTGTGGGTACTTCTGTCAGAGTTGGAGCCGCGTGTCCCCCTAGGACTCCGGCTGCTCTGCTGCACATCCTCACCCTGCGACTCGGGTTATTGGAGGCTCTTCCACCTAGAGCAGTGGTCGGAAACTCATTAGTCAACAGAGCCAAATATCAACAGTACGACGATTGAAATTTCTTTTGAGAGCCAAATTTTTTAAACTTAAACTATACAGGTAGGTACATTGTTATTAACTTAATTAGGGTACTCCTAAGGCTTAGGAAGAGCCACACTCAAGGGGCCAAAGAGCCACATGTGGCTCCCGAGCCGCAGTTTGCCGACCACAGACCTAGAGCATGACCTGTCACCAGAGCAGAGGGAAAGAGGGATGACAAAGCCCTCGCTGGCCCTTAAAGCTTCTGCCCAAAGGATTTAATTGGCCAAAGCAAGTGTCCTGGTCAACTCTAGTCACAATGGGCAGGGAAGTGACCTCCCAGGAGGAAGAGGTGGCAGTTTGTATACCTTTGTAATGACTAACACAAAGCCAAAAATGTGGACGATCATTAAAATGGGAGGCTGGTTCCTTGAAAGACCAATGAAATAAGACAGAGCTTTGGTGAGTCTGAGCCACAAGAAAGGGGAGGAGACAGTGTGCAAGGCGATGCAGAAGGCTCAGGTCACAGGAGATTCGTGAAGATATAAAAGAATGCTGTGCATAATTTTATCATATGGGCAGAACAATTTCTCTAAGCTTTCTTTTATGATCTCAAAACATCTTTCAGGTGTGGTCTCCTCAGTCCGCAGGGCTTGATTTCTGTCCCTCTGACCTCGTTGTCCCCGTCTAAGCACAGAGGGCCGTGTGCTTGTCCAGCTCGGGCAGGGGGCTGCCGCCTCCCAGCTCACTAACTCGCCAGGGGGCGTGCCCGAGCCCGGGCGCACCTGCTTCCCTACAGTGCAGAGGTCCTCATGGCACCTTGTGCGGAGAATGAGGGGATGGAGGTCATTTGCTCATCTGCCTCTATCACGATGTGATTGTATTTCCGTGTAGTTATGATGAAAACTGTCATCTCTTGCAGGCCCACCAGGAGAACATTCTGGGTAACACCATGCAAAGTGTGATTGCGTTGCTCCACAACCTGGTTGCCTGCAAGGATTCGAACATGCAGCTGCTGTATGAACACGGTAAGCGCTTCTTAGAATTCGCTTAGATTCTGTTGAGTTTTGCCTATTTGTAAGTTTTCTCATCTTATGTAGTAGGGAGTCACGAAGTACTATTTAAAGTTGATCAGTCAGCCCAGCTGGTGTTGCTCAGTGGTTGAACGTCCACCGGTGAACCAAGAGGCCACCAGTTCAATTCCTGGTCAGGGCACATGCCCGGGTTGCGGGCTCGATCCCTAGTGGGGGGCGTGCAGGAGGCGGCCGACTGGTGTTTTTCTCTCTATCCCTCTCCCTCCCTCTCTCTCTAAAAGCAATAAAAGCATAATTTAAAAAAATAAAGTTGATCAATGAAAATAGATGTTTTGGGTCCTATAAATAATATTACCAGCCAAAAGGGAAAGTGTGGTAAGATTGTGATAGCTTCTCTACACTAACTTATTTTCTACACGGCACACTGTAAGTAGATTGCTTAAAGATGATAATTCAAAAAAAAAAAAAAACCCCAAAAAGCCAAATGCAAGTGTAAGCAAAGCATTTAGACGTATTGCTGTCAGTCAAAATAAACATGTATATGTCCAAAGCACCTCATAACATGAGACCGAATGGGTCGAGGCTGAGTTTACTTTGCATCTTACACATATCTGTAATTTTACAATTGAAAGCAATTTTTAAGACTTTATATTTTAAGGAAAGTTTTAGGTTTAAAACAAAACTGAGGGGGGGGGGTGGGTACAGAGGTTTCCCACATAATCCCTACCTGTCCCCAGACAGAGGATGTGTTGGTATTGCCTCAGTCTTTTTTCTGGTCAAGGAAGTACTCATCTATTTTAATTTTATCTTTGAAAGCAAGAATAAATAATTACTTTTGGCTTCTATGGAAATAATCAAATGATTTTTCCTTGGATCTATTTATGTAATGAGTTGTATTTAATAGATTTTGTTGTGTTAAACCATCCGAGCACTTGAGTCAGTAACCACACTTGACCCGTGATATATTATTCTTTAATTGTGCTACTTAAGTTCTTTGCTAATTTTGTTTTCAGGATTTTTCCATTGTCATGCATAAGTGTGATTGGCCTGTGGTTTTGTTTCTTGTTTGTTTTTAATAGAATACATTCTTTGCTAGATTTTGGTGTTAACACTAAGTTGCATCTATAATATAAAAGTGTATTATGCTAATTAGAATGGACAGCTGAACGACCTTCTGACGTCCTTCTGGACAAAGCCGTGGCGGTGGGGGCCGAGGCAGAGGTGGTTAGGGGCAATCAGGCAGGCAGGAGAGCAGGTAGGAGCCAGCAGTCCCGGATTGCGAGAGGGTGCAGGCCGGTCTGAGGCCCCTCCTCCCCTGCATGAATTTTGTGCACTGGACCTCTAGTATTTACAATAAAAGGAAGTTTTTCCTCTTTCTGTGGTTCTGGAACAATTCACGAATCAATGAAATTATCTATTCCTTAAAAGTTTAGTGGAATTCCCTCTGGCTTCTGCTGTTTCTAGGAGGTATATTAGTAGTGGTAGCTCTTTAACACCTTTCTCTAGTTCTACAAAGGTAATTAGTCTTTTTACATCTTTCCATCTCTTATAGAATCAGTTTTAGGAAATTGAGTTTTCCTAGAAAGCTGTCATTTCATACACACTTTCAAATCTGTTGCCATAGATTTGGACAAAATAGGTGTTCACAGTTGTTCTATTTTCTTGGCTTCAGAAATTATCTCCCTATTACCGTTTTTTATATTATGTATTTGCGGTTTTGAGTTTTTAGTATTTAAGATAGTGGTTGTTTAATTTTATTAGACTGGTTTGGAATTTAGTTGTTAGTCCTACTTTTAAAAAAAGTCAATTTCTGCTTTTATCTCTTAATTCATTCCTTGTGCTTTTGAGTTTTTTTTTACATTCTTTTTCTAAGTTCTTGAGTATCTCTAAGTTGTTTATCTCTATACCAATTCATTCTACTGATATATATATATGTATATAGAAAAGCAATATGTGAGGAAAACTGTGTCAAAGTAAGTCTCAGAGAGCACCTGCCTTGAGTGAAAGATGCAGTTCTAACTGATGAGGCAGGGACAATGTCATCGGCAGCACTTTCTCTTCGTTAGGGGGACATGCGGTCCTGGTGCCTGGATCGGAGAGGACTGGTAGTAACAGACACAAGGACCTCAGTGTCGAGTGCCACTCAGTAGGGCGGCCACGAGGACACAGACTCTGATAGGTAGTCACTGACCGTCACCAGCACGCAACTGCATTGTGTAATTCAGGCTTTTTGTTTTAAAGTGGTCATTTTTAAATGAGCCCTTCAGAGCAAGAATGATAAAACAAAGAAAGACCTCTTGTTTACATTTGAAAATATTAGAGTCATTAACATTCACAAGGGGCTCTGGCTGGTCGCCATGCACTGGCCTTTGAGTGAAGGAGGTTGTCCCAGCTTCCGTGTTCCCAGCAGAGCCGTCAGAATAACGGATTTCCGCGACGCGCAGCGTGCAGATCCTGCCAAAGAAGCGTTGAAAGCAATGTTTGTCTCCACCGGTGTATGGTGTCTCAGAAATCAACATACTCATTCCTTACGCGGTTTATGATAAACCTGCCTAAATCGGTGTTTTCTCAAGACCAGAAAATCACTCTGAGAGCTGTCTGGCCTTGAAGTGTACTTAATAGCCACCTTAGGTTTCTCACTCGTGTGGAACATTCCAGCTCGTGTTGAACAGGAGTGGCTGGCAGACCTTTCCTGTAAAGGACCAGGCAGGAACTACTTTAGACTCGCAGGCCACGTGGTCTTCGTACTACTCAGTACTGCCAGTGCAGCAGGAGAGCAGACGCTGGGAATCCAGGCGTGTAAGAGACCATCTAGACATAACCGAAAGCATCACAGGGAAGTGATGGATGGGATCGGCTTCGGGAAGTCACACGGAGCAACCCCCCGTGCACCGGCTGTGGTGTTGGGTAAAGCCCATTCAGCATCTCTGGGTAACGGTGCTAGGTTACAGATGGCCACACACTCATCGCAGCTCCTTTCACCAAGAGGTGGAACCTCTTTCTTACCCCGGAATCCACGGCGGCTTAGTGATTTCCTTCAACCAGGATGTGATGGCAGTGACGTGAGATTCCCAAGCCCGGACAGCAAGGGGCCTTGCAGCTTCCCCACAAGCTCGTGAATGCTGCCGCCACCCGGTGAAAAAGTCCGAGCCATGGCTGGTGGGTGCTCTCATGGAAGAGGGCTGAACAAATTGAACAGATACAATACTTTTAAACAGGATAGAAGAAAATGCTCCATAAGTAAAGATGCAGATTTAAAAGGTACATTGTATCCGGGTGGGGGGATGATACAAAGTATCATATTCTGGTGACAGTATTAAGCATCAAGCACAGAGAAAGGGTTGCTTTTTCATGAGGCCCATCCTGAGTGAGGTGGTACCTCATGGGGTTTTGATTTTCATTTTCCTAATGGCTAATGATGTTGAGCATCTTTTCGTGGGCTTATTGGCTGTTTGTACATCTTCTTTGACACATTGTCTATTCAGATTGGGTTGTCTTTTTAGTATGATAGAAATTCTTCTGCTTGAATTTAAGAAGATTTCAAGTATTTTCATTGCATTGCTCTCTGCTAGGCATTTCAGAGATGATTTGCGGGGGATGACCTTGGGAACGGGAGAATATTGGCGTAGGAGATAAGAAGAGAACTCTGATTTACTTTTCACACAGCACCCGCCAGAACGGTCATCTTCGGGTGCCAGTCTCCGCCTGTCACTCCCTGTGCCAGCCTGTCCTGCTCAGAGGAGCAGGGCTGGACTCATTAGCAGCACACAGTCCTGACTTCACCTGCTGCCAGCCTGCCTGGCACTTTTCCCTGTGCTGTCCGGGCCCGGCCAGACTCACCTCATCGCAGTTTCTGTCACGCGCCCGCCTCCTTCTCCCCCGCACCTTCCCACGTACCTGTCCCCATCCTGCTCACCCTCCTGCTTCCTCCCGAGCTCGGCTCAAACTCCGTTTTCTCCAGGAAGCCCTTCTTGAAAGCCCACATTCTCTTTCGTTGCACTTATCACAGTTGTAATTAAAATAGGGATGATGTCCCGATGGACTCGCCTGCTGAGTTTCCTGTGGAAGTCCTCATAAGCCCCCAGGTTCTTCCAGAGCAGCAGGTGTAGAATTAGCTCTTCAGGTCGCAGAGCTGACTGGCTGTGGCGAGTGTGGGGCTCTGCAGCCTCTCCCTGGGGGAGAGGGGACAGTCCTCAGTTCCGCCTGCCAGGGGCTCAGTCATCAATTGCTGTTTTCTTGGGCAGGCATTTTCGTTGCCCCCCACAACTTGCTGCCCAGATGTTGGAAGCAGCCATCTTTCAATCTATAGGCTCAATAAACATGCCAGTGTCTAAAAGAGAAGTCATTGATTGATTGATATTCATGTCATCTGCTGGAAGGAGAGCCCCCTGTCCCGTTCACTGTTGACCTCTCTGTACCCCCCCCCTCCCCCGTACAGTTCCTGGCGCACAGCGGTTGCTCTATAGGTGGGCGCTGCCCGGATGAATGATAGGGGACACTCAGGGCAGAGTTCACGTTCCATTTCCAGAATGAGGGCCTCACTTCTCTGCACCCTGTCCAGCCTCAGCCCCTGGCTGCCTGCCCCAATGTGTCATCCAACTTCGGACCTCACGCCTAGTGCTTCGTATCTTTCTTCCTTCACGGTGTATTCATCGAGAACCGGATGTACAAAAGACATTACGAGCTGGATTCTTCTAAGGCAGTGGTTCTCAACCTTGGCTGCACATTAGAATCACCTGGGAATCTTTTTAAAATCCTGATTTCTGGGCCTCATCCTCCAGAAATTCTGTTTCTTTGTTACTAATGTTGGCCACAACATTAGTAAAAAGAAACAGAATTTCTGGAGGATGAGGCCCAGAAATCAGGATTTTAAAAAGATTCCCAGGTGATTCTAATGTGCAGCCAAGGTTGAGAACCACTGCCTGAGAATTCAGGATTTAAAGATTCCCAGGTGATTCTAATGTGCAGCCAAGGTTGAGAACCACTGTTCTAAG